AAATTAACAGTTTTATTAAACTTGGTATTAGGAGAATCAATAACAACTTTAATAGGCTCAAAATAGCTTAACTCAGGAAGATGTCCATAAGATTTGGGAAATGTATTTAGAAAAGAATTGTCCCTTTTTACTGTGAAGACGGACCAAAACACTCCTTCCATGGGTTTCCTTAAAGGCACGCTCTTCACCTGTGCTGTGGCACAAATCATGCCACAGCACAGGTGGCATGCAGGACGGACCAAAACGCTCCTTGTCCATGGGTTTCCTTAAAGGCACGCTCTTCACCTGTGTTGTGGTGCAAATCATGTCCAGTTCCCCTCGTGTGGGGGTTTGCTGAACAACATGTTTGGACGGATCACCCTCCTCCAGTGACCCTAGCCCCTCGGGAACACCCAACACTGTCCATTTTGTGGTCTCAGTTACGGTCACTCCTTCCTTCCTTTGTGTTGGATCTGGTAACAGTCCTCCCACTTTCAAATTAGGAAAATTTTGTAGCAGATTGCCCACTTTCTTGCACTCTCTCTCTCCTCCTTCTTTCATCTCTTTCCATGGTACAGTATTCTGAAAACTCTCACCTCTTCCTCCTCTTTTTTTATCCTCCTTCCATACTGGCAGTGTTGACTCCTCCCCTTCCTTTCCCTTTCTTTCCTCAACCAAACAAACCTCTATCTTCATTCCTTTTTCCTTATTCACTTCATTAATCACCCCTTCTGTTCCCTCTTCTGATCTTTCAGTTACAGATTCCTTGATTTGAGGAGATGGCGCACTCTCATGTTCTACTTCTCTTTCACAGGTATGCATACATGGGTATTATGAATGATGGCAATCCTTCCATCAACAACGTACCCAGTGGGTCCATGGATCTTCCTGGTATATTTCAGTTCCAATCCCAAGCAGTAGAAAGTCTCCTATCCTTCCATCAACAACGTACCCGGTGGGTCCATGGATCTTCCTGGCATATTTCAGTTACAATCCCAAGCAGTAGGGAGTCTCCTACTATGTATATTCCTTACTTCTTTTTGTAGGTCATGGGTTCAGTGACTCGGCTGAGCTTTTTTGTGGGGAAAAAGTGAGTCTTATGGTGCAAAAAATACAGTATATTCCTCACTTCTTTTTGTAGGTTATGGGTTCAGTGACTCTACTTGGCTGAGCTTTAACCTCTCTCATGTCATTCTGTGGGGTATCCTGTATGTCTTCCTCTGCATGCTGTCTACCAGACTCCTCCAAGAATCTGAAAATGGTTTTGCAGTTCCATGGCTGAAGAGTGACTACTTTTTTTGCCCCTAAATGTGACTCTCTTCCAGAGATGACGAACCTATGGCACGCGTGCCACAGCTGGCACACAGAGCCCTTTCTGTGGGCACACAAGCCGTAAGTCACTATAGAGAAATACTTACCTGTCCTCTGATCCCAGATTTCGGCACTCCCCTCTGATGGTGCAGTGGTCCAGCGGAGGGGTGCAATGGCGAACATTACCGGTCTAGCCCAATGGGCTATTGGAGGACCAGTAAGTATTTATTTGTCAATACCGCCCATGGGGGGGGGGAACAAAAGCATTTAATCCTTACAGTGTGGTAGTTGTTTTTTCTAATCTAAAACCTCAGCATTCGGGTTTTAATTGCAGTATTGGCACTTTATTATTTATTTATTTAACTTATATGCCGCCCATAGGTCTCTTGGCGGCTTACAACAAATAAAGCACAATAAAAGATAAACAATTAAAATACAATTAAAGTAGATACTCTAAAAATAATTTGAAATAAGTTGATTTTGTGTTGCAGTTTGGGTACTCAGGCTCAAAAAGGTTCACCATCACTGCACTAGGCGCTCAGAGGCAGCCACTGCACTCAAGTAGCAGATTTTGCAGTACTAGTGTATTTTTGCAATCTATCCATAGCATGGATCCACATGTTTTTTAATGTACGCTCATCTCCAAATCATTGCCCATCTCCATCGATTGGGGCACTGACATGAGAGGTTGGACTGTAAGCTTCTTTGAAGTGGAATATTTTCTCCCCACTTGTACTCTTCAAGGAGCTGTCTGTGGAGTGCTCATGGTGCTGCTGCTGCTGCTGAGGCTTGCCAGGTCTCAGAGAATGAGCTGCTGTGCCAGGAAATGGCTGGGCTTCCTTGAATCTCCAGGCCAGGCAAACAAATGTGAGGAGCAGTGGTGGAAGGGAAGGAGC